TGTCGAGCCTGATTAAATACTTCTGGTTACTGTGCTGACAAGTCCGTGTCTCCCTGTAGCTAATAAACCTTCCGTTCCTCCTGCTGCCTGAGACACATCTCACCATGGTCCCCTAACTCCCCCTCTCCTTGGCGGCCGTTGGCCATGCCAAGACGAACCTAACTTTTCACGCACTCGGCACCACTACCTGTCCTGCTGCCTGGCTAGCAGTCGCGATGCTGCTATTTTTAGCATGCGAGCTCAGTCTGAGGGGATGTGGGTAAATCTACCCAAGCTGGAAATTACACCAGCAGCTGCCGTGTAGACACAACCTAAACCAGTTTCAGGGCGCGCCTGGCGTTAGAGTGCAACTCTGCTGGGAGATGAGTCCTGAATACGAATTTGCCAGTGTTGACAAGTCGTCAGCCCATTTTGGGGGGAGGACAGAGCCCACCGAAACAACAAAAGATCCTGCCCCTCCAGCGAGGGACGGGCAGAGCGCCCACAGATCGGCCAGTGATGCCACTCCTGGGCACTTCCCACACAGCAAACATTTCTGAGGCCTTGCTCTCAACCGCCCGTGCAGCTGGGGTATCCCAGTCGTGGACACAGCTTTCCAGGGAAGGGAGACAGCAGCCATGCAGCAGTGCTTCCCCCATGTGACCCGACAGCTGTTTGAAAACGGTGCTGGCTTGCTACACACAAATGATTCCGGTTCTGGAGTGCCCAGGAAAGGAATCACGGAGGCTTTTAAGTTTGTCCCCAAGTCCCAGGAAGCCAGCTGGTTCCAGGTGTCCCAGTGCACCACAAGAAAAATCCCAAAAGGCAGAGGATAGAATGATGGAATATGGCGTGAAGAGAAATCTGCCGGCAATGCAGTTATTTTAACAAAGCACAGGTGACACGATTCACAAGGGGAAGTGGCTTCAGCCGGCGTAAAGAAAGTGGTGTGAGTGCTCTCTTCTGGACTAGTTATACCCAGCTTTATTGGGAAAACATATACTGGAAAAACGCCCCCATATGGACAAGCCTTCCTGGCCTACTGCCTCCTCCACTGATCTTGATTGCGTCACATGCAGGGTAACAGACAGGAGGACAGCCTGTGGCTTTTGCCCCAGCACACCAGCTCAGCAGAGCTCCCATCTCCAGATGAGCTGAACTC